TAGCATCCACAAAGATAGCCCAATTCAAAAAATCAGAAAGCAAAAAATGTTGGAGGGGGTGTGGTGAGATAAGAACTCTCATTCACTGCTGGTGGTCCTGTGGATATGTACAGCCACTGTGGAAAGCGATTTGGCGATAGCTAAAACCAATGGAAATCGAGCTACCATACGACCCAGCAATTCCACTATTGGGCAAATATGCAGAAGAAATAAGAAATAGACTACAACCAGCTGTCTGCTCTCCAAGATTCATTGCTGCACAGTTGACAATCACAACAAATTGGAAACAGCCTAAATTTCCATCAATAAATGAATGGATAAAAAAACTCTGGTATATACACATAATGGAATACTATGCATCTCTAAAAATCTGTGATGAAACTATGAAGTGCCTTATTTCATGGAAATAATTGGAGGTTATAATGCTGAATGATTAGCCAAGCACACAAGGTCAAGTACAACATGAGTCCACAGAGGTAAATTCAAACAGCAGAATGGCACAAGGAAAAGGGCACACAGCACAATACACAACACAAAATTCCTGGGCTGAGGATCAGATATTCTGGCATGAGTCAGACCAAACCCAATGATTCATACATCAGCTGAAAGGCATCTACCCGCCACCTCTAATATGCCTTCAAGGCCCATAGAGGGATGGGGGAAGAAAATTTTATTAGACGTGGGAAACGAACACTAAGGGAAATATGACGAGGACTATATTCCCTAATTTATAACAGGGAATCTGGAAAGCTAGTATTCCATGGTAGGAGAGCCTTCACTTTGGTAAGTTAGAGATAACGTCCAAGTACATTATCCTGCTTTAAATATTGTTCTCACAGATTCTGCCCTAACAGCCATGCTGCCTTAAAGTGAGCACATGGTTGATTCTATCTCCCTACAGAAGCAGACATCCTGTTGCTCTCTCTTCCACTGCGTCACCCAGTCCCCCTCATCCCTTTCCCAATGCAGGTATTAGGTTTCCTCACCTGTGAGCTCAGGGACCTTACTGTAGATTCTACCCACCTTGTGACATATTTAGCTACTGAATATGCATGTCTTATGGCTCCTTAGAAATACCCCAAGATAGCAAAGACACACCTTTTCTCCCAGTTCCACAAGGACCATCAAGAGGGGCTGAGGTGAGCATGCTACCATAAAATGTGTTTATTCTCTCTCCTTTCTTTCTTCTCCTCTTTGACAGTGGTTCTCAACTTTCCTAATGCATGACCCTTTCATACAGTTCCTCATGTTGTGTTGACCCCCAACCACAAAATTATGTTCATTGCTACTTCATCACTGTAATTTTTCTAGTTATGAATTGGGTGGCCCCTGTGAAAGGGTTGTTAGACCCCCAAAGGGGTTGCAACCCACAGGTTGAGAACTGCTGCTCTATGATCTTTATATATTATAACCATACAATTGTATCTACTGACTCTTTGGTTGTTAGAGGCTGGTTTCCTTTAACAATTAGGTAACATGTTTAATATTTATTTATGAATAAATTATTAAATCAAGTAAAAAAACCCAACATCAACTTTTGTCTTTCTAGCTGGTGACCCGACGTGAGGAGACTGAGAGGCAGAAGCGGGCCTGACATGGGGTAAGTTGTCTAGACGCCTGAGTCTGCCAGTGCTACCCAGTTATCTAGTGATATTTTATCCTAACTCTGGGTGGACATGGATGAAATGTCAGCAAGTTCTGGGGTTGTTAAGGTCAGAGCGGAATTACAATGAAACACTGAAATGGTGACCAAGATCATACAAATGTGGGGAAGTGACACCTGGATCCATTTCGATATGGGAGTTGGATAATGGGATTGGGGATAATGGTAAGGTTTGCCATTTTGCCCTTGCTTAGTGTAGTTGCACATGAAGCACGACTATGTACATATATACCATATAAACATATAGTGTTTTGCTGTACATAACAGCTTTAGCTGTGAACTTATTAGAATAGTCAATAAAAGGAAACTCCAGCACGACAAACGTTATCGCCATTTCTCATTGTTACGTCTCACAGGATCCAGTCACATGGCAGTCCTCCTCGAGCAACGCAGCCGTGTGTGTAAACTTTAACCTTACAGTTACTTTTCTTATCACACTGTATGCAGAGGTTTCCTGGTGGCTTTTATTTATTAGGGCCTTGGAAAAAGGGAGAAGCTATTCTTTCTTCCCTGTTTTTCAAGGCTTAAAAATTTTAAATCGATGTCTATTTAACGTTAGTGCTTTATATTTAATTGGCCAATTTATTCACTAGTGTCTACTACCATTCAGAGTTAACCATATAAGTATATAAATTATATTAAGGAGACTGTGTAGTTTATGAGTTACTAACTCAGCTTCCACTCATTATTTTAATATTATGGTGAAGTATTTAAATAAGTTCTTCTAGTAATGCCAGTTTACTAGGGGACTGGGGTATTCCTCCTGTCACTATTGATGCTAAGGTGCTGTAGAAAGAACATGCACTGGGAATATAAAAAAATCAACTCTGGCCTTGTTATTTGTTAACTCAAAGAAGTCATTTCATCCATTTTATCATATCTAGGATTCAGATGATAATTTGTCCTAAGGGTTCTTATAAAATTTTATGTGGAGCCCACCAAGCGTTGAAGATGATATTCCTTCTCAGAGCAGCCAATCCACAGAGAAGACCATATGGCTGGCCCCACTATGAGACACGACATCCTGCACTGACCTACAGGGGACAACACTGGAGACACAGTGTGGGAATTGCACCCGATCTGATCCCAACACACCAAGGCAAAGCACCAAGAGCATGAAACAGAACAGCAAGGGAAACAGAGCAACGAAGTCCCCAGGGAATACCAAAAATAGTCTTTGGGGCCAGGGCTTGGCACCCCATTAGACTCGACCAGAAAACACTCCTAAAGAATAACAAACAGTCCTTGAACTAACTACAGGCTTTTCTTTTTTTTGTTGTGGTGTGTTGTTTTTTTGGTCATTGGCTTTTTAGTGGTGTTGTTTTGTTTTCTTTTGTTGCTTTGTTTTGCGCTGTCTTGTTTTTGTGCCTGTTATTATCTCTGCAGGTCTGTCTAAATAAGATAGACTGGATGAACAATTTGGAGGAGAAAACAACGGGACCAATGCTTCCAGTGGGACATGGGAGAGGGGGAGGTGGGGGGAAAGGAAGTGGTGGTAACAAACCCAGGGACAAGGGAACAACAAGTGATCCAAATTGGTGGTGAGGAGGGTGTAGGAGGCCTGGTAGG